ATCTTGAATTTTTGTGCTGTACCCGGTCGGGTATGACCTATACCCGATCGGGTACCCTGTTGAAAAATCAAATCGGATCAATCCGGGAACAAAGCAACATGCGGGAAAGATTTTGGCCATGTTCAAGTGTCATACCTGATCGGGTAGCCGACACACCCGTTCGGGTATGCATGACGTTTTTAGCTTCCGGGAAGCTTCTGGGTGTACCCGATCGGGAGCCTTCTATACCCGATCGGGTACTGTAACACCTGAGATTTAATTTAAACAGATTAATAGTACTACTCATACAAACAGAGGTGCATCTCCTTTTAAGGGAGCTCATCAACCAAGAACTCCAAAGTTAAGCGTGCTTGCACGGGAGTAGTCTTGGGAAAGGCTCGTGGTGGTTTGTGGGGATAGTACTAGAGGTCTGGAGTAACTCCCTCGGGTCTTGCGGGGCCGGGGTGTTACAGGTGGTATCAGAGCAACCCTGCGACAGTGCGCTGATCCGTGGGATATCGGGCGGGCACTTAGCAGGGGAAGATTCTGGGATATGATTGAGATTGAGATTGAATTTGCTTATGGACGCAACGAGGACATTACGATCCTAAGTGGGGGTGATTGTAACACCTGAGATTTAATTTAAACGGATTAATAGTACTACTCATACAAACAGAGGTGCATCTCCTTTTAAGGGAGCTCATCAACCAAGAACTCCAAAGTTAAGCGTGCTTGCACGGGAGTAGTCTTGGGATGGGTGACCCCCTGGGAAGTTTCTCAGGACGCGCATGAGTGAGGACAAAGTGCGCGGTAAAGGCTCGTGGTGGTTTGTAGGGACAGTACTAGAGGTCTGGAGTAACTCCCTCGGGTCTTGCGGGGCCGGGGTGTTACAGGTACACACCCCTGCATACTCCATTTCCCTATAAATACATCACTTCCCTTCCCACAAAAGATCACCAATTCACATATACTTCTAAGCTCAGCCTAGATAAATTCTTTCTTTATATTTGCATCATGTTTAGTCTCCAAATGAGGACAATACTAGAGGTCTGGAGTAACTCCCTCGAGTCTTGCGGGGCCGGGGTGTTACAGGTACACACCCCTGCATACTCCATTCCCCTATAAATACATACCTTCCCTTCCCACAAAAGATCACCAATTCACATATACTTCTAAGCTCAGTCTAGATAAATTCTTTCTTTATATTTTCATCATGTTTAGTCTCCAAATGAGGAGCTAAACTCTTCCATCTTGGTTTTGCTACTTTGAAGCTTAATGAATTTGTAAGTTGTGAGTTATTCTCTTTAATTTTCTTCCTTGAATATTAATTCTTCCTTTAAATACTATTTGAGATATTACCTGAAATAGGACTAAAACAGTTTGAAAATTCCAAAATAGGACTATCATATTTTTATTCCCAAAATACGACTAATTACTGTCATGTTTTGGCAGTACCAGACTTCAAACATGGCAGTATTTTCCAAACATGGTAGTAATTAGTCCTATTTTGGGAATAAAAAACATGACAGTTCTATTTTGGAATTTTGAAACTGTTTAAGTCCTATTTTGAGAACTTTCCCATACTATTAACTATTTCTATATCAATGTTGGGGAGTGTTACTAAGATGACAATTAGTTGACATCTTGACATTAGTTATAGTAATAGTTATTTCTTCCTCTATGTTAATATTAGGGAGTGTTACTAAGATGACAATTAGTTAACATCTTGATATTAACTATACTAGGATTCATCTTCTTTAATATTCTTCCTTGAGTATTAATTAATTCCTATTCATATTTCATATTAATATTGTGAACATTACTTAAAGGATCAACTAGTTTTGTTTCATATATTAATTATTACTAGAATCGATCGATTAATACGCTTGTTATTAATTCGGTTCATTCACGGTAGTAAACTTGGATTATTAATGCATGCATCTCATGGTTAATAATCTAAGGGGAATTAATTATGTTGATTAAACCAATAAACCGCTTGTGTTGCGGTTATCAATCTCAATCGTTTTCATCTTGATTTTATTGCTACTATCGGGTTGATATACGGCACGTGTTCTATATTAACTCGGTAGTAAGTTTTATTAATGAACGCGTCTCGTTATTAATAACTACCCTCGATGAACTGGATATACGCCTCGATTGAGTATTCGAGAGGAAGATAGTTAAAGATATAACCGGGATCGACGAACATTTCATTAAGTGGATAAAAGCAAAACCAAGTCTTCATCTCTATTAAAGCAAACCACATAAGTCGTTCATCTTAGTGCTTAAATACATTTAAGTTTATCCACAATCATAACCCCCCCTTGTCACTAGTTACATAAAAGATAAATATTCCTTTCCATGTGGATACGAACCTTACTTCGTTATACTACGTATAATCGTTGTATTGGATATTTATTTTGAGTGCACACCACGACAAAGTGCACGTCACTCCCCTTGGTCCCGAACACCAAACCAAACATAACAAACTACTTAAAGACCGTCTAAACGATACGAAACACGATTTTAATTATTTTCCCAATTCTCTCAAATTTTCAGGGTATTACATTCTCCCTCCCCCTCCTCCCTAAAGGACGAATTGTCCCCGAAGTTCAAGTCAAAACAAAGTCAAGATGACACGTTGAAGGAATTACCTTATCAAAGATGCTCAAGGTTTGGAATACTATGAGTTTACCTACTTCATAAGATGTGGGATACTAGGAACATTCTCATAACAATTCTCAAGTTCAATAACTCACAAGATACTCTATGATAATGATTAATGATTACCTAGGAGTAACTACCGGAAAATTCCAATCAATTCAAAAATTTCAAATCCAATTCAAAACAACAGAAAACAAAACGCAATCAACAATCATCGCACAAGCTCTCACACGCCTACGCCTTAAAATTCAGTCCTAATAAGATTCCAAAATGGGAATTTAAACTTTCATTTAAATTTTCGGGGTATTACATGTGTCTTAATTGATTCTTTTCTACCGATGAGTTCGTGTCTTTATATATGAAGACGATGGGCTGCATCCGAGCCAAGATTATACAGATATCACTATAATCTTGTACGCTATAGTATATTAGTATTCCATTTGTTGATACTTCGGAGTCATGTGCTAATGTTGCTTGAATATATATATACTAGACGAAGTACCCATGCGATGCACGAGATATATCTAGAGGGAAGTAACTACCCGTTTGAAATTACATTATATTGCACAGTGTAATGAGCAACTTTTTAAATAAAAAGGGAAAATGTCAAATATACTAAAAAAAGTATCATGTACTACTTATCGTTTAACCCGGTTTTGACATGTAATAGCATGTTTTTTATTACCAAACTCAAAATTTTGTTAAAATTCAAAGAATTATATATCAAAAGTGTGGGCAATTTAAGAATGTCAAAGTTTTTTGTTTTTGGAACTATTTGTATATTCTCAATCTTTTTTAAAGCTATCAAATTTTAATTTTATGTTTTTTACACTTCACTTTATTTTTTGTCTTTTTTCAATTTTTATTTTGTATGATAACTTGTTAAAGTTATCTATCCATTTTTTTAATTAATACGATTTTTTATATTATGATTACTACATTACTTTTAAATTTATATGAATTTTTATAAGATTAGTCAATTGTTTTTTGTATTAAGATTATACTATAGCAAGTTAAAATGACTTGATTGACAATGTTTCTATAGTAACCATGCTTATGATGTTACGTACTTTATTTAGTATATGGACTTAAGTAATGGATTGAAAAATGACAACAATAGAAAGTTTTATTTGACTATTTTCCTTTTTTATTTAAAACAATTGCTCATTACTTTTTTCAATTTTTTTAATGATAACGTGTTGAAATTATCTATCCATTTTTAATTAATATGATTTTCTATAATATGATTATTACTTTATTTTTAAATTTATATGAATTTTTATAAGATTAGTCAATTGCTTTTTATATTAACATTATACTATAGCAAGTTAAAATGACTTGATTGACAGTGTTTTTATAGTAATCATGCTTATGATATTACGTACTTTTTTAAGTATATGAACTTAAGTGATGTATTGAAAACAATAAAAAGGTTTATTTGACTATTTTCTTTTTTTATTTGAAATAATTGCTCATTACTTTTTTCTGTTTTAATAATAAGAGTTTAAAGTAAAAATTCCCAAAATAGTAAAATTGTAATCATAAGAGTTTAGAGTTCGAATTCCCAAAATAGGACTAACTCTTCATATTCTACATTTTCCCTTGTCAATTTTTTAAACAATAACAAAACATAAAAAAACAAAAAAAAGTAAAAAATAAATACATAGTATACACAGGCCTCAACCACAACCTCAACCACCTTCGAGCACCGCCACCTCTGGTCGTCGGAAAGGAATGTCAATTTGAAAAAAATATGTCTTCGTGATGAAAATTTTGACAAAAAAGATGAATACTTTCAAAAGGTAAAAATGTCATATACATAGTATTTTCAGATGAATGCGACATTTTTTACACAATATGACATTTTCAACGATCGGAGCTGGTGATGCTGGGAGGTGGGTGATGCTGTGACAATGACCTACATTTTTTAATTATTTCTTAGGTATTTTTAGACTTTTTTGAGTTTTTTAAATTTTTTATTTTGGTTTTTCCCGTTTTTATTATAGATTTATAAATATTTTAAGTATTATTTTTTGTATTTTATCATAAATAAAATTATGGATTTCTTATTACTAAAAAAAATCTAACAGAATTTATAGGAAGGGGAAGAATAGAAAGAAGGAACATATATTACTCAAATTTTGAAAATAAAAAGATTATAATAATCATATTATATGAGGGTTCCTTTTAGTACTACTTATAACTCTAATAAGCGTAAACTGGGGCAGGAATCAGTTGGTTGTGTGGTGTATTACTGTATTTATAGTCACCTTGTCATATAACTACCCAACTACATATTTCAAAGGAGATCAATATTTTCATTACTTCATCACATAATTAATTTCATATATTTCATACGGAGTATAATATTATTCAATTGTTTATTGAAACAATGACATTAATATTACTAATGATCTTTGCATTTCCCAAAATATGACTTGAATTAATTGAAAGATGGCATTTAACCCTAATTTCAAAACTTCACTCCTCTCCATCGATCAATTTCTCAAAACCCACAGGAACCATCACAACCTTCTCTTCATTTCAGCACTTCCCTTCACAAGTGCGCCGCCTTGCTGCTGTCTCTCCTCTCTGTCGACACCCATCCTCACCGCCACCACAACGTCTCTCATCAGCTTCATCTTTCTTCTCACTCGCAACCCCTATTAGTGCCCTTCCCCTCGCCGCCGCCTCTGCTCACCACCACCACAACGTTTCTCATCATCTCCACTGCACCTTTAATTTCATCTCACTCGCAACCCCTGTTGGTGCTCTTTCACTCGACGCTATTAGGGTTAGGGATCTGGTCAACTAGACTTTTGGCGTAGCAGGGGGTTAGGGAAACGACGGTCCAATGCCTAGAAAGGGGGCTGCGGAGATTGGGGAGGAGTGGGTGGGGTAAGATACAACTGGGTTGGTGGGGTGGGCAATGGCCGGGGCAGCGGCGGCGTTATTAGATCAGGACGTCGGTGGCGTTAACAGACCAGGGCTGGCAGGCAGTGATATCAGCAGTATAAGTGGGCGGGGCAGCGGTAGTGACCGGCCTGGGCAGTCACTAATTGGTGAAGTCACTTTCAGCGGACTGCGGACTGTGACTGAGGGATCGAGGGATGTAGTGACATAGAAAATAGTCACCAATGCAGTCCAATGACTAACGGTAGCGGCGGCGGTGTTAGTGATGGTGGCTACAGTCACTGAGGGATACAATGACATAGAAGTTAGTCACTAATACAACCCAGTGACTAATGGCGGCAACGGTGTTACTAGCGCCGGCAACGGTGTTAGTGGAGGCGGCGACACTAACAGGGTGGTTGTAGCGGTGGGTAGACGAGAATACTTAATTATTAATTATTAAAAAGGAATCTTATAGTAATAAATGCAATATTAAATAAAAAGCATAAACATTATGGTAGGTCATAGTTTTGAAAATTTTCAAAAGAGGTTATATTTTTGTCTTTCACATACTCCGTATGATTTAGTAATATTCATAAAAAAGGCCTTGTTTATTTTAGAGTCAAGCTTATATCTAGAAGATTTTAAGGCCCTGTTTGGTTGGAGGGTTTCGGAGGGGAGGGGAGGAAAGTGGAAGACTTTCAAAATCCTCCAGTTCCTCCCATTCTAAACCCCCAAATCGGGGTATTTCGGAGGAAATATGTTGATAACCACAAACTATTCATCTCTTACGTGAATGAATAAAACGTTATAATATAAAAGAGTAAAAAACAAAAAGTTCTGAAAAATTTAAAAATTTAAAAACTTACAAATTTAAAGATAAAAAAATTTAAAAATTAAATAATTTAAAAATTATAAATTAAAAATTTTAAAAATTAAAAAAAAAATTTTAAAAAATAAAAATTAAAAATTGAAAATTCCAAACTGAAGAATGAAAAATTATTAAATTAAAAAGTAAAAAATCAAATAAAATAAAATTTTGACTCATGACCATAGGAGTAATATTCACAATAGTTAGACATGTATCTATTTTTTTAAATAAACTATCAAATAAAAGTAAATTGCGAAAATATTTTCGTTAAACCTTTTCTCCTATTTCCTCCAACCAAACACATTTTTTTTATCAAAATCCTTCCTTCCTTTTCCCTTCCCTCCTTGACTCTCCCCTTCCCTCCCCTTCCTTTGAACCAAACAAGGCCTGAATGTCTTTTGAGAAGATTGAGTTGGGAATTTAATTGTGGAAGTGAGAGAGGTTCCAGAGAAAACGTATGCACTTACTTATTTAAGGAGTGATGTATGTTTCCTTACAAATTTTTGTGATGTACTGACACAGCATCTTTTAACAAAAACGGAAAATGGCTTTAGGAAACGCTCCGCCTTGCACGGCGCACTTTAGCCGCCCCCACCTCCCCTCCCTTAGCGGTGGTCTGATCCGTCTAGATCTCCACATCAGCCGCAGCAACCCACCACCCTCTCCCTTTAAACCTAACCCTATCGCCCCCCATTCATTCATTATGCCACCGCCCATCACCCACCATCGCCGCCACCTAACCTCTCCATCCTCCCTCATTCGCTCCACTTTTCCTTCTCATCATCCATGGCTTCGTCTTCGTCCCCGTCCAATCTCGAGCTTTCTACTGCTCCGGCCGAAAATCCCTTGTCCATTGTCACCGTCGCCGCCTCCTCCCGCCGCCTCCCTCCACCGTGCTGGTCCCACGAGGAGACGGTAGCCCTTATTGACGCCTACAGAGACAAGTGGTATTCCCTCCGACGCGGCAATCTCCGGGCCAACCACTGGCAGGAAGTCGCTGACGATGTCGCAGTCAGATGCCCCATCGATTCGCCCAAGACCGCTGTGCAATGCCGACACAAGATGGAGAAGCTCAGGAAAAGGTATCGTTCTGAGATTCAACGCGCGGCCCCGTACGGCGGCGTTCGCTCCCAACGTTACTGCTCATCATGGGTCCTGTTCAAGCTTATGGATTCCATGGAAAGAGGGCCCAACGCCGATTCTCCTCCGATGGATGATGAGGAATTCGATGATGATGGTGATGATGTTAAGCAACACTCTGCCACACACATCCCTGGTGATATATATAACCCGAATTTTTCCAACAAAAGAAGCAGCTTTCAGGGCTCCATGAGTAATGGGGGAACTGGTGTCCGGATTCGAATTCCCACATTACCTATGGCAAAGCCTTATGACAAATTTGATGAAATGTTGCACCAAAACCCTAACCCTAACACAACCTTTGGCTCTAGTAGGATGATGCCTAAAGGAGATCGATATGAGAAGAGGTCTGCTGATTTTGGGAAAGGGGTAACTGGGGAAGAAAAGGTGGTGGGAGAGAAGCGGAAGGGAGACCCAATTGCTGAGATGGTGACTGCAATTAAGGCGTTGGGAGATGGATTTCTCAAGATGGAGAGGATGAAAATGGATATGGCCAGGGAGGTGGAGGAAATGAAGATGGAAATGGAGATGAAAAGGACCGAAATGATTCTTGAATCACAACAGAGTATTGTTGAAGCTTTTGCCAATGCTCTCTCCGATAGGAATAATAATAATAAGAAGAAAAAGACTAGGAGGATGATGCCTTCTCCGGAACGTCAGATGGGCCATAGTTGAGATTCCCCCACCCCCATTTCGCAAAATGATAAGCTTAAGTGGTAATTAGTGACCAGCAGATTGTCCTTACTTTAACGTTTCTGATGCAAGAAATCATGGAAGTAATGAAATTCTGGCGCACCTTCTTGTGTTCATACAAGTAATTGAAACTTGTCAACTTCAATCATGGGTTAGCGATGTTTATGGACTGATAGAAACCTGCTCGAGACATTCCCTCGTGCGGTATTTGGCATGTACTTGATGTTATCTATCATTTCAGTTAAACAAAGTTTTCTGCATCTTGGCTTTGTAAAACTTTATTATGCTCTTTGGGTTGTCAGTGCTTTATGCTCTTTAATAGCATATCGATTTGTCCTATCACCCTGATATGGATTTCCATTAATTTATCTTTACATACCCGTATAAATTTTGATAACGTTGGAACTCTCCATTGATTTGTTCAGGTGAGTTCCGGTGGCTCTGATCTTGGTATTGTATATTGTGTTTTGGATTCATACTGCTTTCACCTGACCTTAGAAAACTAAAGTTGCTTGGGATCCAGCTAAATAGTGCTCCTGCTTACTCTAGAAGCACAAGGAATGTTACATTTTGCTATTAGAGCTGATTATTATTTGAGAAGGAATGTCAAATAGGTTTATTAGTGTATAACAAAATTAAAGTGGATATGGGGATCAGGAAGGGGATTGCATCCACCAATAATGGTGTAATACCTCTCCATTTCTTCACCATATACTTCTCTACATCATGATATTGATATACCCTCAACTCTCTTTGGAGTAATCTGCTGCTATACGTTAGTCCTTTTGGAATAGGAATACTATTTTTTTTGCTTTAAATGAGGATATGTCACTGTTATTCTAAAAATTTACTCTCATATAATAGGGCCCTGGTTTTTGAAGGCCCATAAAATGTATTACTCCCTCATTTTAATCACTTAATTAGGATATCAATGTGACTTTATAGAGATTTTAATTTAGTTTCTGAATATATAAATTTTTATTATTACAATTGAATTAATTGTCAACAAGTAGGATTAACATTGCAAAACAATTGGAACGAATGAAGTAATACTATTAGGCAGCTGCCAACCCGGTCCAAGAGAGTAGAAAAGAGACATGACCGAAGACACTCCTACTTTGGCGCCCTGTTGTATTGCATGACTTCAACTCTTCAAAGAGATGAGGAGTTCAAGCGATAAAAGGATGACACAGACGAACGGTTGCTCCTAGATTGTCGGCTTGTCGCTACTGCGCCATGCGGCCCACTCCTCCAGGAGTCCATGGTCCACCGTCCATGCCTGGTTTTTTCCCGCTCGCAGCCTCGCATCGTCGCATGACTTACTGGAGACTGGAATCGCTGCCTCGCTGAGTGCCTATCTGCCTAAGTTGCTATCTCGCTGAAGATTGAATTGCTTCGGTAACACCGTAAGCACGTCACAGTATGTTCGCGTGGATTATAATATGCACAAACATAAAACATACTCCGTATATGATATGTACCACCTATATGAATGATCAACATAACATTTGTAACATTCACCCAATCCGACTTAGACGGTTCAACTAGTTGACTCAATCCGACTCGAATTGGTTGGCCGGTGGCGGGTTTTCAGACACAAAACTAAAGATTTGATTTAACAAACTAGTGACAGGGTAAGATTTACTTAAAAATAATCAATATTGAAGTGACAAAAAAATGAGTTTACCCGCAGATATTGAAGTTGAACATATTTTAAAATTTGATTAATATCCAAAGAAACTTTGTATGACTCCAAGCAAGTCGTGCATGAATCTCTTGATCCTCCGTCTGAAATGTCATAGCACCACACTTAACCTACGTGTAGTAAAAATAAAACAACGAAGCTACACGCTCAACAGTTGAGTGGGACGAAAAATATTATATATGCGGTACGAACATATATTTCATAAAAATCGAGAATTTCACATGTGATTAAATACACAATTCTATCATCATATTTCATATAATTCAAAATGTGATACATGACATATAACAGAATATCACTTAACATAAGATGACATAACTGAACTTGACAGAACATAATGGTGTAAAGCATGTCATATCATGACTGAGCTGACATACTGGAACAAACCATATCAGAATAGAACATACTCCATATAAGAATAGAACCGATAACAAATATCGATTTTTTTAATTCACTTAATCTATTAGTAAGTCAAACTCAAGCGAAAGGACCAAGACTCCAAACACGAGATAAGGATACATAGCCGTCAGGGCTACACACATCTATCTCCAGAATAGAGGTCGTCCATGGTCTAAAATACATGCTAGCACGCCAGGAGGGAACCGTAATCGCCAAAGCTACACGACCCCCAAAAATAGTAATTTTAGGAGTACAAATGCCAAAGTACTACATACTAAAAACAAAATTTTCAGGAGCACTAATATCCAAACACATCGCACTAAAAACAAAAATTTCAGGAGTACTGGTGTAGAAGCATTTCGTACTAAACATAACAAGGTGTCTCGATTAATGTAACACTTAGCATAATGTCGGGGTCTAGGTGTGTTGAAGGTAAATCCCGTAGATCCGAAAGCCCAACACGAACTTTAGATATATCAGGAATGACCCAGAATCAAAGCGTGTAAAAAATATAAGATCCGAACTAACTAAAACTCGAAAGCTCACTTGTATTAATTAACCAATCTGATTACAAGGAATTTCCCGATCGGTATGTCGGAAACTATGCTTTAATACAAGAAATAAGAGCAAATGATGTTATTCTAGAGCTTGAGTATTGAAATGCTAACCTTTACAATGACTTGAAACCTTCTATTTATACTAATGGAGAGCATGGGCTGCCTCATGCTGATTGGCCGTTGTTCCACCGACTTGGTCATCCATGCTTCCACTTGCTGATGTCACAGTCTGGCATTAATTGCACCTGGCCACTTGCTGGTTGGCCGTTGCTCGAACGGGATGTTGGGCTGTACTGAAGATGCTGTCAAATTGGCCCAAGTATGATATATAGCCCGAACTCCGTTCGGTATGTCTTCTTACTGGGCCAACCTTTATTTGGGCCGAATCTCGTTCGGCATGAATTCTTTACCGGATCTATTCATCATAAAGTGATGGGCCCGTTGCTTGGGCCGGATATCTTGGGCCTTCTCGATCTGGGTATTGGGCCTCTAGGTCAATATCCCAACACAAGTCCCCCACTTCCGATGTCTCGAACGATAGTGAGTGCATTAGGAAGTATATCAATGTTATAATACCCCGAATGGCGATCGGGGTACATAAGTAATCAGTTCCCCATGCTGCGATTCGACGGCTGCCGCTTCATTTCCCCATATTCATCATGATAACCGTCGTTTAGTCTTTTCATTAGACACGTGTTTAGCTTAAATGCTCCTAGTGACGTGTCGCTCTCTGATTGGTTCCCGACACGGCGGTTTCAAGGCTATAAATTAGCCTTTAACTTCTCAATTCCGGGTTTCGATTCTGCAATTCCTTGGCCTTTGTTGTTTCCTCTGCAAATTTTCTCCCAGCTTCCTTCGCTCAGGTAATTTCTCAAATCCGGATTCCTTATCTTCATTTCTGGCTCGACCGAGATGAGCCCCAAACAGCATTCCTCTGATTCGAAGATGGCCTCCCATGGAGATGACCGTGACGCCGCCATTGTGGACGTCACCACAGTCCCGTTTGCCGGTGGTTCTACTGAAACAACAACGAATACCAGGGCTGAGGCGGAGGACCTTCCTAGCACTTCTTCTTCCTCCAGTGAAGATTCCGATGACACCAAATCCGAGGACGAAATAGCCTCCTTGGCGGCCGGACGCCCCAACGATTGTCCTCGCCATACCCTTGACCTAAAATTGATTAGGGAGAGGCGGCAAAAACTGACCTCCCATAATAGGGCCGAAATTCCGACCCTTATCCCTGACCCGGTGGATTTCCGTTTGCAAGCTGGGCTTCACCCAATGCGTCATAGGCCCGGAATGACCATAGTCCATTTCGACTCAATTAGGGCCGGCCTTAGGTTTCCACTACACCCCTTTTACATTTTTTCTTCAATTTCTACGAAGTTGTACCGGCCTAGATTATGCCGAACTCCTATCGGGCAATGGCGGGTTTTATTTGCCGTTGTAAAGATGCCGGCGCCCGACCACCCCTAGAACTCTTCCACCAATTTTTTAAGGTAGCCCCCCAGCAAACCCACGGTTATCTGGCCACTAGTGCCCGAACGGGACACATCCTGTTCAAGGGAAACCCAACTTCAATCAAAGGGTGGAAAGACCAGTTTTTCTTCGTGTCTGTCCCGGTCGGCCTAATTCCCCGCAAATGGAATGCCTTCCCCCGCAAGACTCCTGATCCTGTCCTTACTGAAGAAATTTACAAGGACGTGCTTGCTGTGGAGAAGGATAAATGCATGGACATCATGAGTTATCTGACTCCCGAACGACTTATTACAGCCGGGATAGGTACTGCCCGTTCTCTTGGGTTTACTTGTTTTGAGAAACCAAGTGCCATGGTCCGGGTGGTCCTTCCCGTGCGAGAAACGTTCTTTTGTTCTTTTTTCTAGTTTCTCACACGCTAAGGCCGCTCGATACTAACATTGTCCTTTGTCTTTTTTCAGCACCAAACCCAGATCTACCTATGGATGATAGCAGAGTTATCGCAGCCGGTGGGGCCGGTAAACGGAAAAAATCCAGGAAGAACCCCCAACCTACTCCCACCATTATTCCTGCTCAGGATGCTGCCCCTTCTCAACCGCTTCCAGAGCCTCAGCCAATACAGCAGGTCCATCAGGACCAATTCGAGGCCATGCTGGTCGACGATCGGTTCGGCTCTGACCAACTGCATCAATTTTCTCAGCATTTTGACTCCGTTCGGGGGGAACCTTCGAATGCAGGTGAGACCCACACCGACCATATTACTGGTCAGGTCGAGTGGATCTCCTTATCTGATCCTGTCCACGAGGTATTAGAAAGGGCTGGTTCTACCGCAAGCCAGATCTGGTCGACCTCCTCTTGGTTCAACAATTTTTCCCTTCCTCAGTTGCCGGTCGAGCAATCTGAAGAATGTCTGGCTTTGACCGCTCTGAAGGTACATTATCTTTTGCGCTTTGTCTTTATTTTATTCTCTGTAATCAGTACTAACTCTCGAACGGTACTCTGTAGATGGGTTTGTACACCCTTCAGATGCGGGAAGCCCGTCTGGCCAAGGAGCGGGAACTGATTGTCGCCCAATCTTCTGCTGAGCAAAATGGTGCTGCAGCCATCACCTCTCTGGAGGCCGAACGGAGGGCCTTTGCGGAGGAGAAGCAGAGGCTGGATGCTGAGCTCGGTACCCTTCGGGTCCAACTTGCAGCTTCCCAGGCCAAGGTCCTTGCTGCTGAGGCCGCACAGGTTAAATTTGAA